TCCTGTCAGGACCCTAAGGGCAGGCCAGTACAGATGCCTGAATGCTAACATTCCTCCCTTTTGTTTATTATAAAAAGGTGAGGAGTTAGAAAGGGGTAGCAGGTGAGGCAGGGATGAGGACACTGTGTTCTCGAGACTGCTTCCTGCTGCCCTGGGGGTTGTTGATCATCTTTCGGGGACCTGAGAAAACTAGGGTGTTGGCCATGTCCTGGGGTAGCTGGCTGTTTCACTTCACTTACCCGGCTCTGTGGAACCGTCCAGCACTGTTTGGACCTAGGAAGATGTTGTTCGAGGTGAATCCAAGTCGACTCCCTGGAGCTCACAAAAAACTTTGAGTTTACCAAAAGAGGTAAGTTTTAGACACATTAGAAAGCAACCAAAGGGAATTTGTGAACTTGTGGCTAGGATACTATAGTGGTAGAGTATAGTGTTCAGTGCTCTGCCACAGCTAGACTAATAGCTTATCAGAATTCCATCAATTAATGCCAAGGTTGTGAACAGTAACATAGCGAGAGAGAGGAATCTGGAACATGTTTCATTCTTTTATACATATCAAATCACGCCAGTTGTGGTGGCGCACGCAGGTAGGATTTACTGAAGGAGGCAGAGGCAGGAGGATCACAAGTTTGAGGCCAGCCTGGGCTACACATATGAAATCACTTTCTCCTTATCAGCACTTAAGCTTTCCTATCTTCACATAAACAAACTTTAAAGCGCCTGGTCCTTTCCCATCACCACAGCGTCACCTTGACACCCTCTTTCCATCTGACTTACCGGGAGATACAGGTGGTTGATTATTGAGTATAGTCCATAGTAAAAAGTTACACTGAAATCTGTTCTGTGGGTTTAATCTCTTTTCTGATCTGGTAAAGAAACCAAAACAGCCATTCCATGGGTGAAAACAGAACAGGTTTGTACCAAACTGGTACAGCTGTCTCCTGAGAAGGCAAGGAAAAGTGACAGGGGAAAGATCCCCAGGACCAAATGGGAAAGGAGGAAAGGGGCTGTGAGCAGGAACTGAGGGGGCAGAGGCCAGCAGTGCCCTGGACAAGCCAAGGGGGCCTCTGTCCAAATGCCCAACTCTGGGAAAAGGACTCTCAGGGGACCGGAAACTCCATTATAGAATATATATCTTGTTTATCAAATGCTTTATTTATCCAACATTATGTTGCCACTTATTTAAAATCTCTAGAAGCTTGGTGTTGAGCACTTGGCAAAGACATAAGTACTTAGGTGTAAATCTCTAAGTCAGCTTTTGCTCATCTGAATAGGCCTTTAAAACCTTAAATTTTTATTACCGTATAGAGCATATTCTAAACCAGAGTTGAATCACATATAACTTTACATTTCTATCATCATACAAAAGGCCATACCAATCTAAAATATTTGAGGCTTGTTGCTTTCTTAGCCTAAAAGGAGATACAATGAACAGAGAGCTCATTAGGACTAAGAGGTGTGTACTCTTTAACCTTAGCAAAAGATGGCTGCCAGCCACGTAGCTGCTTACATCATGATGAGGTCACCAGCCGAGATGGAGAAGCACGTGATTGCTGTTTAAAACATGTTTTTCTAAACAACAGTTACATGCACATATACACAGAATTGAATCCAAGTTTTATACACATACATGCAGAATGAAACCCAGCTTAGATTTATACATATAGGGCTAAATCCAAGTCTCACACACACACACACACACACACACACACACACACACACACACACACACACACACACAAAACAAGAGTTGAATACATTAAAAGAAAGGGAAAACTGTCGTGTACTAAGCAAGACGAAGCTGGCTTCTCCATCTCTGACTCCCACGTTGCAGCAGACCTAGACAGGACATTTAGAGAGAGTAGACAGACCCAAGGAGGTCTTGGAACAAAGAAAGAAAAAAAAGAAACAAAGAAAGTGGAGAATTCTTTCTCATTTTCCCAGTTGCCTGGTCTAAGGAATGCTGAGGCCAGTCCCACACCCAGGGGAATGGTAAGAGGCGGGTAGCCCCACCAGAGACCCAATTGTTGGTACTGAGTGGAAGGCAAAGCTGTTGGCCAACGAGAAAGCAGATTTGTGGCAGGTGAGAAAGAGCAGGTCGCTGAGGGTGGGGCCGGCAGATAAGGTCCTAGCGTGAAGTGGGTACCTTTGGTGGACCCTGCCAAGGTATGCCGCTAAGCAAACATGCCACACACAGCGGAATTAGTGCAAGAGGTTTATCGGGAGGGAGAGAGCCGATAGTGGAAAAAGCCAAAGGCTGCGCTGGAGTGGGGACTTGAGAGAGGCAGGCAGACCAGAGGAAGAGAAGCAAGAGAGACAAGAAGAGGCAAGAGAGGGAAGGAGAGGCAAGGAGAGGAGGAAGAGGCACGAGACGAGGCAAACAGGAAGAGCGCTGCCTGGCGGGCACTTTTAAAGGGTGCACATGCCATCGAAAAGGACCTGGAGACAGGAGATGAGGTAACTGCTTTGGCAGAGGCTGGGCAGGGGACATGCAGCTTATCAAGGAGGCACAGTAGCAGGCTTCATAGCTAGCAGGAGCTGAGTAGAGCAGGAAGAAAGAACAGAGATAAGGACTTGGGAAAAGCATGAAAACAGGGTTCCCCCTTCCATCTATCTATTGGATCGGTGGTAGAAGTTGCCAAGGTCCCGTGAAATACTGGGATATGGAGTTCCGGTAAGCGACCTTTTGAATTGATCTCTAAGGGGTATTAGGGCAAAGGCGGCTGAGTTTAGCCCTTGAGTCAGGTGGTAGGTATGGTGGTAGGTGCATTTTCCGTGAGTGAGGCAGAGAAGATCCAAGGGCTGGAATCTCTAGCATCCCAGAGATACGGTGAGGACTGACGAGGAGGCACAGGCTGTTCAGTGAATGTTATCCAAAAAAGCAGGGGCCAATGGGCTAAGAATCCGAGTGAGACACAGTCACAGGTACCAGGACTTTGAGAAAAGCCAGAAGGTGAGGACTGTGCTTAAGAAATGAAGCCTCACTGGTGGGAAATGGCCAGAAGTGAAGGGGCGGGGCTTACCAATCATTGGTGTCGGGTAGAGAGTCCCAGCAATCTGTTAGGTGGGGAAGGAGGGCTGTCGCTGGTGGACCAGGTTCCAGGGTCCCGCCACATCTGACTTCCGGGAGAGCCTGTCCAAGTCACCGTACCAAATGTATTTTTAAAATGACAGAAAGGAGTCATACCGTACAACAGGGCCCACGTGGGAGATTTATTGAGGGGAGGGGAGCGAAGGGGCAGAGACTGGTCCCTGGGAACGAGAGAGAAGGAAGAGAGAAAGAGTCATGAGGTGAGCAAGGCCCGACTTTTATAAGGAAACATAGCAAATGTGCATAGGGGTGCTCTTAGTAGCTAGAGCTGAGGATATAGCCTGTCAGAACCCTAAGGGCAGGCCAGTACAGATGCCTAAATGCTAACAACAAGGACACTTACTCAACTATGTTCATAGATGCCCCTCAACTGAAGAATGGATAAAGAAAATGTGGTACATTTACACAATGGAGAATATATTACTCAGCCGTAAAAAAAACAATGGCATCGGGAAATTTGCAGACAAATGGATGGAACTAAAATATATATATATCCTGAGTGAGGTAACCCAGACCCAGAAAGATAAACATGATATTTACTCACTCATAAGTAGATATTAATGTTTGACTGGAACAGCTCCATCCCATTCCAAACCCCGCCCTCTCAGAAAGACCAAGCCTACAGGGTATTTAAGCCCCCTCCTCTAGCCTGGCCATGTGATTTCTCCTGCTCCCTTCCCCGCCTCACCTCTGAAGGCTGGAAAGGTCACCCGGGTGTGCTGTGCCCAACAAACCTGGTCATTTTAATTCGGCTTGATCTGGCTTACTGCGTCAGCAGAGAAATCTAATACATTTTATCTTGGTACCAAATGGTTATGCTCTATGTCTTCATTCTTAAAATAAAAACTTAGGACCACAGCTGAAAACCAGAAACTGAGGAATTCCCATCTCATGATGCAGCAAGATAGTGACCTAAGCAGCCTGGCAAAGGGTCTCTCCTCGCCTAAGGTCTGTTCAGGCTTACAGAGACTGATTTAGGAATGTATGTCTAACTTGATTGCTTTTCAGAATTTTTTTTTAAGGCTAACCTTAACAGGGATAAAGCTACAAAATCTTTTTTTTTTTAAATTTATTTATTATGTATACAGTGTTCTGCCAGATCTGCGTGCCAGATCTCATTACAGATGGTTGTGAGCGACCATGTGGTTGCTGAGAATTGAACTCAGGACCATTGGAAGAGCAGCCAGTGCTCTTAACTGCTGAGCCATCTCTCCAGCCCCAAGTTATAAAATCCTAATCATATAAGACATAAAAGTTAACCATCAGTCACCTCATAAAGGATCAAGTTCTTTGATATATTCAGATTTTGCTTATAAATATGTCCTCAACGTTAAGCCTAAAACAAGTAACCAGAAACAAACATTTGTCTAGTTTAGATGTACCTAACAGATAATGATCCTCAAATGCTTCAGAGAGCTGAGAATATGCCATTTAAAGGCTTCTCATGATAGAGACATACCAGCTCCTGGCAACACCCTTATCTCCTCCAAGGAAGATGGATAGGCGCAGAAGAACTTCCACCTGGAGCTTGGATTAAATGTAGCAAAGCTAGTCATGGAGTGGAAAAAACTGCCTTGTACCTTAACTGCTGCCAAGACCCTGTTCAGATTGTGGACAAGCAGGACAGTGGGGAATTGATTACCCTGCTTTTCCAAGATAAGATAAGCTGGTCTCCCCAAATTCCTACTCCACAGGAAAGTCTGTCAGATCTTCTGGGCCTGGCAGCTGAAGATGGATGCTGCCTTGGGATCCCTGTCCCCAATGACCACAGAGGAACCTGGGGTAGCTGTCTAGGTAGCCAATAAGCTCCTGTCACTTTGAATGGATTTGGAAGCTGTTTTACTTCTGCTTACTCAGGTGAAACTTGTCTTTCTTAGATCTGATGATGTTTGATGACTAGGGTACTGATAGCTTTGTAGCTGAAAGTTTTCCTGGTCCTGTCTGGCTCCCATGGCCCCATGGTCCACAGCCACTCAGACCCAAGTAAACACATACAGGCTTATATTAATTAAAACTGCTCAGCCATTAGCTCAGGCCTGCCACTGACTAGCTCTTACATTTAAACTTAGCCCATTTCTGTTAATCTATATGCCGCCACATGTTCCATGGCTTTACCTGTGTGCCATTACATGCTGCTCCCTGGACAGCAGGCTGGCCTCTATTCTGACTCAGTCTTTCTCTTCCCAGAATTCTCCTCATCTGCTTGTCCCACCTATACTTCCTGCCTGGCTACTGGCCAATCAGCATTTATCAACCAATCAGAGCAACACATTCACAGCATACAAAAAGACATTACCCCCATCATAGCTTTACCAGTTTAACTGCTCTCCCCTGACCCCAAGGCTACAACCACCTTGGTAGTTCATTAGTTAAGCTTCTTGCTAAAAATACAGACAGGCTTGCCTTGTCCACAGGCTTCATAGTAAAAGATAAACAGGTTCAGATGTAACTTTCCATTAAGGTATGTAAAGATGTCTCTGACTTCTATCCCTTTCTATGCTATAACTACACTGGAATTTTGGAGGTCCAGAGTTTTAGCATTGATAAATGGAGTTCTGATAAACCGATAGAACACTGACTATTTACTATTCAGCCACAGGCTCAAGATTTTAAATGTTCTCTGATTGTCTTCTAAGTATAGACTTAAAGGTGTGCTTCATTGGGCTAAAATCAGGCCCTGTAGATATAAGAAAAATGTTCACACCTTTTAACTCAAAGCCATAGCCTTCGCTATGACACCAAGGTATACATCTGTTCCAGCTGTTTTACAGACACCTGCGTGTTCCTGGGGAAAGAGTTCTGCTGCTGTATCAAGGAATCTGGCCTGGTGGAAACTAACATCAGTCTCTAGAGCCCCACTTTGACTCCACCCATCTTCAAGTCCATATTTTACAGGTCCACTCTTCCTGAAAGACATGTGCCATGTCTGAAGCCCTCAACATCTCCTGGAAATGCCATATCCGCCCAAGCTCCTGGGACATCAGTGCTGGTACCACCTCTCCAGGCTCAAGTGGTACTTACACAGGATAAATGTCTGTCCAGCAACTGGGACTCTCTCCACCCTCCAGTTTTCTAGAATGTTCCAATGAAGGACATATCTACTCTTCTGTCTTGCCCATTCACCCTTGTCTCTTTTGCACAACGAGGGCACATCTCTGTTCCATTCTTTCTGGCGATCTCCACTCTCCCCATGGTTAGCCCTGTTCATAGGGCTCGTGATTATAAATAACCTATCTTTTTTTTTCCTAGCAACTTGACTTCTCTGCTTCCTCAAGAAACAGATTCCTGAGGTCTCCAGGATGGCAGTTAACCAAATGCTTCTTCACCCACACCTCAGGCTCAGCATGACCCACTGACTCCCAACTTCCCCTCTCCATGTCATCCCATACCAACAGGAAGAAGCCAGACTTGAAGCTATGCCCATATGTCCAAGAAGGTCAGGATGTGGATGTTCGGCTGGAACCTCCAGCTCCACCCCATTCCATTCCCCACCCTCTCAGAAAGAACTTGTCCACAGGGTCTTTAAGCCCCCTCCTCTAGACCAGCCAGTGATTTCTCCTCTTCCCTTCCCCTACCTCACCTCTGGGGACTGGAGAGATCACCTGGGGGTGCTGTGCCCAATAAACCTGGTCTTTTTAATACAGTTTGATCTGGCTTACTGAGGAACATAATACCTTTTAATTAGATGTAAAGCAAAGAATAAACAGGCTACAATCCACAATCCCAGAGAAGCTAGGTAACAAAGACAACCCTAAGAGGGATGCATGGATTTCCCTGGGAAGGGGAAATAGAGATCTTCTGGGTAAATTAGAGGGTGGAAGTATGGGGGAGGGGATGGAGGGCTGGGAACTTGAGGGATCAGGTTGGTACAGTTGGAGAAGGGGTAGAGAAGGAGAGCAATGAAAGATATTTTGATAGAAGGGGCCATTTTGGTATTAGGGAGAAACCTGGTGCCAGGGAAACTCCCAGGAATATACAAGGATGACCCCAGCTAACATTCCTAGCTATAGTGGAGGGGGTGCCTGAACTGGCCTTCTCCTGTAATCAGATTGGTGATTACCCCAATTATCAGCAGAGAGCCTTCATCCAGTAACTGGTGGAAGCAGAGGCAGAGATCCACAGCCAAGCACTGGGCCGAGTTCTGAAAGTCCAGTTGACAAGAGGGAGGAGGGATTATATGAGCAAGGGGAGTCAAGATCATGACAAGGAAACCCACGGGGAGACAGCTGACCTGAGCTAATGAGAGCCTTCGTGGAACCCACCTAGGCCCTCTGCATGTGGGTGACAGTTGTATGGCTTGGTCTGTTTGTGGGGCCCCTAGCAGTGGGATCAGGACCTGTCCCTGGTGAATGAGCTGGATTCCTGGAACCTATTTCCCAAGCAGGGATGCCTCCCTCAGCCTTGATGCAGAGGGAGGAGCTTGGTCCTGCCTCACAATAATATGACATGCTTCGTTGACTCCCGTGGAAGGCCTATCCCTTTCTGAATGGAGTGTATGGGGGGATAGTTGGAAGCTGGGTGGGGGATGGGGAAGAGAGGAGGGAGGGGGAAACTGTGGTTGGTATGTAAAATAAATGAAAAAATTTAATTAAAAAAAAAAAAGAATAGAGGGGGCTGCAGAGGTGGCTCAGTGGTTAAGAGCTCTTCCAGAGGTCCTGATCTCAGTTCCCAGCAACCACATGGTGGCTCACAACCGTCTGTAATGAGATCTGGTGCTCTCTTCTGGCCTGCAGGCATACATGCAGGCAGAACACTGTACACATAATTAATTAATTAAAAAAAGAATAGAAACTCTACAACAGTCTGGCAAAGCTACCTATAGATGCCATTCCACAATGTAGGACTGTAACCGGGAAGCCCTTTTTAGTTAATTGTTAAATTAATAATGTCATACGCTCTATTCAGTGTCACCTTAAACTGCTCCCACAGGTTGTCTGTCCTCCACACACATGCTGTGTGTTGCTATGATTGATTGATAAATTAAAAACGCTGATTGACCAGTAGCCAGGCAGGAAGGATAGTGTAGGCGGGACAAGGAGAGAGGAGGAGGCTGGGTAGAAGAAGGTGGAGTGAGGAGATGCTGCCAGCTGCTGTGATGAGTAGCAAGATGTAAGTTACCCGTAAGCCACGAGACAAGTGGCAAGGTATAGATTAATAGAAATGGGCTGTTTCTATTTTGAGTTTAAGTGTAAGAGCTAGACAGTGGTAGACCTGAGCCAATGGCCAAGCAGTGTAATTAATATGAGCTTCTGAGTGATTATTTTATAAGTGGTTGTGGGGTCCGTGGGGCTGGGCAGGACTGGGGATAACTCTAGCTACGGCTGTGTGCACGCATGCACCCACATACATGCACACACACAATAAATGAATGTAATAATTTGATTTTAAAAAGAAATGAACTGCATTGAAATTCTGTAAATTATAACATAAGCATTTCCTGATAAGAATTTGTAAGAAGAGTTAAATGCTGTCATTCAAATTATGAGCGGCAGTTAAACCATAACTCAACAGCAGTAAACATCTAATTACTCTTGTTTGGTTTGAGCATCTCCTTTTGGTTCTAAACACCTGCACAGGAGCACACTGCAGCATCTACTCCACATGTCTGTTTTAAAAATGAAGTTTACAATTTATTTGCCTAGGGACTGAAGGGACTGGTATCAACTCAGGGCACCCCAACACCAAGTTCTCAGCACTAAGGAGATTTATTTGCCCCAAGGGACAGAGAGCAGGGAATAAGAGACAAAGACAGGAGAAAGAGGATGAGGGAGAAGGGGAAGGGGATAAGAGAGGGGGAGAAGGGGTATTTGTCCCGAGGACAAAGGACTGCCTCTGGATAGAGAGGAGACAGACATGGTCCATAGGTAAATGGCAGTTTATAAAGGTAAAAGGGAAACCCCATTTTTAGGATTAGCTGTTTAATTTTGATTGGGCATGGTAATTAGGTGAGCCAAAGGGGGCTTTTGATTGCTGGGTTCCAGTGCTTTGATAGCTGGCCTAAAGGGGATTCCCGAACAGTGGGGGCTCCCTTCCAGACGCTGGATTAGGCACAAACCACACCCAAACACCTGTTTTCACAGAGATCCTTTATTAAGCAGAGAAGGAGAGTTAAAGAGGCTGCTTTTGGACTCAGGTGGAAAAACAGCAGCAAATGACCTCGCAAGTGTCATTTTTAAGAAGAGAAAGGGGGGAGGTCTGTGTTAGAATGGGCTGGGATGCGGTGGCAGAGGAGATAGAGGATGAGGGAGAAGGGGAAGGGGCGGGGGTATTCCCGAGCAGTGGGGACAAAGGACTGCCTCTGGATAGAGAGGAGACAGACAGGGCACATTGGCAAATGACTATTTATAAAGGTAAAAGGGGGAAACCCCGTGTTAGGATAAGGTGTTTCATTTTAATTGGCATGTTAATTAGGTGAACCAAAGGGAGTTTCTGATTGCTGGACTTTGGTAATCAGCCTCAGGAGGAGGAGGTGGCCAAATAAGGGAATAGACCTTGGTGGCTAGCTTTAGGAATGGAATCTAATGGTTTTGAGCAAGGCAGAGGGAATGGGGGAGGGCAAGGCCTGCCAGAGGCACGCTTGCTAAGCTCTGGTTGACTAGAGTCCCTTCAGTGGGCATGTGTGTATATTCATAATGTCTCCATTATGTGTTAACTCTAGCTCCTCAAGGTCCCAGAACATGAATTCCCCGCTCTGCTATCCAGATCTCATTTCTCCAGACACAGATGTATAAAATAGAAGATGGGGAGATGGCTGGTGGGGAAAGTGTTTGCCTCACATGCTTGAGGGCCCACGTAGAGTCAGACCACAGCTCTCTGTGACCCCGTGAGCTCCTATGATGAGACTGTAGATGGAAACAGGAGAATCCCAGAGTTCTCAGGCCAGCTAGGCTGGCACAGACAGAGGCACTAAGAGACCCTGTCTCAAAAAGTCAGAGGGTGAGGACTAATATCCCAGGTCACGCTCCAACGTTCGTACGCATGTCATAGCATGTGTGCACCTGCACTCACACACAGGAACGTAAGCAAAGAAATATTAACTTTAAAAAATTTTAAATAGAAAACAGGGAAGAAAGGGGTAATAGCACTATTTTAGGCAGAGGGAAATGGGACGATCAGAAAAATACAGCAGTGATGTGGTGCAAACACATAGTGGAGAGGTAAGGTACCATTATGGGGCAGCCCAGTAGAAGAAAAACAAAACAACCCTGGAACTAAAGACACACTCCCCAGTCAACACCTGCCCCCCTCCTGGCTCCCTCGTGATCCTGAGCAGGTCCACTGGGACTCTGTGTCCTCAGCCTGGGTTTGCCCTCAAGTCCCTTCCAGCTTGAATATCTTCTGATGAGGCGGCACTGGCCCTTTTCTGACACCTAGAGGCGGGTCAGAACTCTGTCGAGCACCTCACAGGGCTGTGGATAGACTGGCTGGCTGGATGCTTACCCTCTCTTGAATTGCTCCTTAAATACCAAATAAAACGGTTGAAAGCCGCTAGGCAGGGCCTTTGGATGTTCGGCAGTTGTTTTGAAAAGCTTTGGACCTAGATCAAGTTGGCAGGCTGAGTTAGAAGCTGCCTTGGAGACACTCACCGATGACGGCTGACCTGAGTGTCAACCATTCTCTGTCCCAGCCTTCCTTTCTCTCCCCTCTCCCACAGAACTGGAGCTATTTCAGAATGAACAAAAGCATCAGGAGAGGCTCACTTGGTTCCGTTGTCTGGGCAAACAGCCTCTGTTTGTGAGCTCAAATACCCAAGGCTCTATCTTACAATCCCAGTCAACAGAAACACTGTACCCTGTGGTATTGGCTGTTTCCCAAAGCTAGAAATTCAAATGTACTTTACAAATAGGATGGATAAATAAATAGTGGTGTATATACACAGTGTGTGTGTGTGTGGGGGGGTGTAAACATCAAAGAGAATACTTGAATAAGCTTCAACTACCACAACACAGATGAGCCTGGCAAACAAGTGAACTACGGACAAACAACCCTGATTTACTTAGGTTTCTATTGTTGTAATAAAAGACCATGACCAGAAGACACTTTGGAGGAAAAGGTTTATTTCATCTTACACTTTCACATGAAAGTGTAATCCATCATCAAAGGCAGTCAGGGCAGAAATGCAAGATGGGAATTGTCTTACTCAGTGATGACATGTCTGCTTAGGGTGTGTGAAGAGCTAGGTTTGTTCTCCAGCACTGTGTGTGGGTGTACGTGTATGCATATATATGTATATGTGTACCTGTGTATGCATATGTGTGTGCATGCATATATATGTGAATGTATGTGTGTATATGTATATATGTGTGTGAGTATATGTGTGTATGTGTGTGTGTCTGAGTGTATGTGTGTATATGTGTATATATGTATATGTGTGCATGAGTGTATGTATATATACATGTGTGTGAGTTTATGCGTGTATTCATTTATATATGTGTGTGTGAGTTTATGTGTGTGTATGTATATATGTGTGTACATGTGTATATATGTTTATATGTGTGTGTGAGTATATATGTGTATATGTTTATATATGTATATGTGCAGGTGTGTGTGCTTGTATGTATATGTATATATGTACATATATGTGTGTGTGAGTGTGTGTATATATGTATATACACGTATGTGTTCGAGTATATGTGTGTGTGT